ATCTCGGCCAGAACTGTATCCCACATCTACTCTAAGTCACTGCAGGAGAAGGGACGGCCACTTAGGGTAGCCTGATAGGGATGCTGGTGCTGCGGAGGGGCTTGGGCCCCACCAAGCATAAGGTCCCCAACACCTAAACAGAATCAAAGCAAAGAACTAGAAGGATGCAGGGATGGCTTTCAGGAACAGTCTGCAGTGTCCACTCTAGGAAGTCTGAAGGGCCAGATGCCTTGTTCACACCTTGTGAAGTAACATTCAGGGCCTTAACTGAATGCTAGAAGCTTAACTTTTGCACCAATACATTTTAAGTACTGGGGTATGGACATATGCTAACCTCAGGTCAGTTCATAAATCAGAATACCAGTTTACTGATTTGTAATGCCAGATCCACTATCTCTTTCTAAAGGCTGGAAAACATTTTATTATCTGGTACACAGCAGCTAAAAAATCAAATTAAGGTCTAGGAAGTTTCATGGTCGAGCATAACCAAGAAACAGCCTCTGAGCAAGGGATTTGGGGTGTTTTGTGCTTTTCTCTGTTCATCACATGCATTTCCATGTTCCCTTTCCATTGTACATTCCTTGCTCCTTGTCTGGAAGACCTTGCTGGCCTGTTCTGCCTGAGGAATGTCCACTCGGACCAACTCTGGAATCTCCCCTCATCGCTTTTCCCACAGAACTAACTCCTCCCCTTTACAAAGGGGAGTTAGTTTAAATATTTGCTGTAGGCCATGCCCTGTCTCACTGTCATGTGATTTTTTTTTTCAGAGCTCCATGGAGGGTAGAAGAGAGTCTTAGTCATTGCTGTATCACAGAGATGGCACAGGGTCTCTTCAGGAACTACCATTTATTGAGCCCTAGAGGAATAAGTCTCAGATTTTTGTGTATGGAAGAATTACTAAATCACCACAGAGTTTGGTTTGAAAAGTCATAGTCCTAGTCCCTTGCTTCAGAGAATCTGACTCAGCAGGCCACTGATGGGGCAGCAGTCTGCATTTTTAACACAAACCTCTGGTGACCTTGATAAGGACACAGAGGCCACATTTTGGGAAACGCTGACCTAGCCTATGATTCTTCTTCAGCTCTTGCATAGCTTGTTCTGGGTGATTCTGTCTTGGGTGTAGTGGTATGAGATGCCCCAGAAATTCTAAGGGGATTTCCAAGGACAGTGAAATGCAGATGCCAAGGTCAGGTGTGAGAGCTGCAGCCAACGCGTGTATGTGTCCTCTGTGGGGGAAAATGGAGTGATTTTGGAAAATTGGCCAAGGTTGTCAGCCTTCTGAAGACTCTCATTGCTAAGAGTCTGCAGCCCTATGACCTTGAGAGTTTTCCTTTCGCTACTTTGCATTACGTACAGGCACACCCATCAGGAAGTCTTGATGTTCTTGGTTTGAAACAAGATTCCCTACACTTATCCAGGGGCACCTATCGACTGTGCTTTGGGATGCAGTAAGTGTCACCAAACTGTGGCCGGCAATTCAGCCTCCTCTTAGAACACAGCCATGCCCATTCATGTCCTTAGTGTTCCTCATTGCTTTGCCAGTATAATAGAAACCGGGAGTCTGTGGAACTTGAGATGACACTCTGAGGACTTCCCCCAAAAGAGCCTGCAGATCTCTGGGATAGAGCCCAGGACCTTGAGATGTAGCTCCACTACTCACTGACACAGAAAATACTGAAGAAACAGATTAAATAAGGATCACATCTTTTCCTTAAATGCAAAGGCCTTTTATGATGCATTTAGCCCACTTCTTTCAAACATTTCAAGCATCCCAGTCTTATCACTTGGTATCTTTCTAGTACAGTCTCCAAAAATTCTCCAACCCCACTATAGTTTACATACTATTGATTCTGATGTCACAGCTCTTCACTGAACATCTGCACTGTTATTCTTCCAGTTGGCGCAATAGTTTCTACTGCAAGGATTTAGGATTTAAAAGAATAATTTAAAGCAGATTCTGAAATATGTAAGTAAGCTTATGAGGGCAGTATTGTAGTCAGGGTTTGCAAGGGAAGAGACACATAATTTACAGGATTATTTTATAATAGTTACCCAAAAAGTCAAATTCAGAGGAGCACAAGAGATCTGTCCACGTACCAGGGACCTGAAGGATCCAGCGAAAGACCTAGATCTCACAGCCACGTTCTGCACAAGTCCAGCTGAAAGCCTAGAGCCCAAGGCAGTGTCCTCCATGGGTCCAGCCAGAGGCCTATAGCCCATGGCGATGTCTCATGCAAGTCTGCATGGAGGATCTGCACTGGGAAGGCCCAAAGGCCAGTGGTGGAAGCTAGAAAGCCTGTACCAGCAGAGTGAGGGATTTATGCCACCAGGCTGAGGGATCCACACTGGAGCCAGGAAGTGACATTCAAGGCAAAGATCAGAACTTCCTTGAGGAGACCAGCAGCTATTCCCGGTGACAGTGAGGCCCAGAGCTCCTCTGAGAACAGCCAAGTTTGCATAAGGAAAGCAGCTACAGCAAGGGCAAGCTTCTCCAAGAAAATCAACAGCAAACCATCTTCACCTCCAGGTCTCTTTTTAAGCTGTTCGCAACAATACTCAGGTGGGTCTTCCATGCCCAGAACCACACTGACTGAGTTCAGCTGGGTTTTACAAGTTGCCCATTAATTAATCCACCACAGGCAGAGGTTATGGTTGGCCCGTGGTGCTCATTAGTATCTGTTGTTTGACCAAAGAACATTTCTACTTATTCTTGAAGGTATAGACTGACAATAGACAGAGAGAGAGAGAGAGGGAGACAGGGAGGGGAAAGGGCTGGGGGAGGCTTTAACAATAATAATCTGTTCATTTGCTGTTGGAGCAAATGAGATTTGTAGAGCCAAAGCAGCCTACCTAAGCTCTCACTACTAACTAGAACTGGGTGCACTAAATCCATTGTAGGGTTCTTTTTCTATGGATTGTGCTGCCTCTCTCAGCTTCAAAGACCCAACATAAACCTCTGAAATTAAGATGAGAGAATGAGTACTTCTACTTGGAAGGGAAGAGGGTGTTGAGATCATGCTGGTTGCAACTCCTTCTGCAGCATAAGGAACTAGATTTGGAAACCGGATGGACACACACTTGTTCCTCACGGCTATTACTATGTTATGAGAGTTTGGCAAAATTGCTTAACTTCTGGTCCTTGACACCCTTCTGGGGAACGGGGACTGCCTAAATGGGGCCATGCTGAGCTTTAGGAGTGTAACTGCAAAACTTTCACTCAAGTGAAAAATTCAATTCTGTCTTCTTACCAGTAACACATCTGTCACTTACTGGTCAGCAAGAAAAAATGAACTAAAGGTCTAGTTTTGTTGGAAATAGTCTAAGTGGCACAAAATTATAGTAAGGCATGATAAAAAAAAGTTCTGGAGATGAATGGTGGTAATGGTCATACAACAACGTGATGTGTTCGATGCCACAGAAGTGTACACTTTAAAATGGTTGTTGAGATTGTTGTGTGTGATTTTCATGGCCTCTTCTGGTCCCCTTGGCCACTACAGTGATGCTGTTTCTACTCCCCATCCTTTGTCTCATGCCTGGGCCTGAGGAAACACCAGATACAGTGACATATCCAAAATGTCATTGTGACCTAGATCTGTGACACCTCCCCACTTTCCTTGGCCATCAAGTCTCTTCTCTCTTCACTGTCTCTGAGGCCCATATCTCCTCTCATTTCAGTCCACTTAAGCCCATGTCACCTTTCCGGTCATCACTTGGGTGACAGTGGAGCCTCCTGAGCATACTGTGATTACCCACTGACCTACCACCCTCCACCAGCCCGGAAGCTCTGAAGGTGCAGAGCTGTCTGGGTTTAGCACTGAACGTTCCAGGCTTAATAAATGTTTCCAAAGACCACGATACAGCAGCTGCTGGGCACTGCCTATCTGAAAGCCCTTTTCCAACTATCCAGGAGGCATTACAGGTGATATGGCCTCTACCTCTCAATTTCAAAGACACTGGAAAAGCAATGTATAAAATTTAATGCAAAGAAACATGACTACTATTACTGTACCATTTATAAAGGCCAACAAATACCATGAAATTAGAAGATAGTGTTGCAGCTATCAGGTGGTAAAATGCTGATCAACAAATTGTATGGTGCTATCTGGGCTAAACTATCTGGGGTAACTTTGTAAGGACTCTGTGTGTGTGTGTGTGTCTGTGTGTGTGTGTGTGTGTGTGTGTGTGTGTGTGTACACATGCATGCATATAAATTACCCCCAGAACATTAACCAAATTTGAGAATCATTACTTACATTGATGTTTTTTCCCAGCCTGATGTCTGTTTAAATTATGGCAGTTAAGAAGTCTCTGCTTAGCTCATTAAAACCATTACTGTAACAAAACAGCAACAATAACATGGAGAATCAGACTTTTAAAAAAGCATGTTTAGTTAATCATAAGTCACCCTTGATAAAATGAGAGTCACTTAACAAATTCTATCATTTTTTTTGTTTTGACCTGACGTTTATTGTCCTTTTATGACATGTCATTTTTTATTTTTTGGTTTAGAAACAGCTTGTGATTAGTTCTCCAACAATAACTCTAAAGCATGTAAAATAAAATCAACCTACTCTCCATATGAACACCGATCAACTATGGCCCCTCACCCACCTAACCAGGTTGGCTAGGAGAAGAGAGGGCTCAGGCAGCATGGAGTGAAGTGCAGATGCTTTACTTTGAGGGTTGGTGGTGGTGCCTTGGTCCACGTCCCACATGGGCTCCCTACACTGGCCCAAACTATAACAGAAATGGTATAGGCCCAAGGCTCAATTCCCTGGTAATTCACTCTCTGCCTCCCAAATGAGAATTATTTTTATTATATCACTTTTGTTGTATATTTTGCAACAGAAACCCCCGTCCAGAGTCTGACTGGTAGCTGAACTACTCAGGCTGAGGAATGAAGCAGGCAATGGGCGTACGCCTGGTCTCTCCTGGGCAAGCACCCTCACCCCAGGAACAGGGTCCAACCAACCCAGCTTGCTGCATGCTGGTCACATCACTTAGCCGTACAGGTCACCATCATTGTCTTCTGTGTACACACTGCCACCTGTGCCACCTGCACTGCCCTGACTAGGGCCAGCTCCACCCTCATTTCCTGAAGGGAATCTGAATGTGCCAAAGCCTCGACTCTGCTGAAGCACCTGGGCAAACATTTCATATTTCTGAATGTCATTGTCACAGACAGAACAGCAGGCAAAGTGCATGGCTTCTTCAAAGTGATCTCTGTGAATCTCTGGCACTGGATCATCCTTTTCTACTTCCATGGCTGATGGATTTGTCTGCCTCCCATGCTCTCGCCTTATCTCACTCTCAGTGGATTCATGAATGGCCAGCTTACAAGAACGTTGGCATATCTCCGTCAGGTCAGCTCCAGGGAAGCCATTAGTCATTTTAGCCAGGAACTCCAAATCCACATCCTTGGCAACTGGGGACTTGCACAGGTTTGCCTTGAGGATGGCAACATGGGACTCTCATTGGGAAGTGGTATGTACATGGGTCAAGGCAGCTGTTAGGATGGCAGGATCAATGACGTCAGGCTGGTTGGTAGCTCCAATGATGAACACATTCTTTTTTGTGGACAAGCCATCCATTTCTGCCAGGATCTGGTTGATAACTTGGTCAGCAGCTCCACCACCATCTCCAATGTTACCACCACAGGCCTTGGCAATTTAATCCAGCTCAGCTAAGAAAAGCACACAAGGGGTAGCTTTGGCGGGCCTTGTCAAAGATTTTCCTGACACTGGCCTCAGACTCCCCAAACCAAATAGTAAGCAGCTCCAGACTCTTGATGGAGATGAAGTTGGCCTGACATTCATTAGCAATGGCTTTAACCAGCAAGATTTTCCCACAACCAGGAGATTCATAGAACAGAATTCCCTTGGATGATGTCATGCCAAACTTGAGGAATTTGTTTAGATGCTGCACAGGGTACTGGACTACCTCCTGAAGCTCACGTTTGACATCCTCTAGGCCCCCAATGTCTTCCCAGGTTACATGTCGCACTTCTAACACAGTTTCTGGCAGTGCTGATGGATTTCCCTGGCTCAAGGCCCACCGGAAGTCATCCATAGCAACTTCCAGAGAGTTCATGACCTCAGCATCAGTGGTCTCATCCTCTAGGTCAGTAAGAACCATTTTCTTGTGGATGGCCTGCAGAGCAGCCTCTGAACAAAGGGCTGCTAAGTGAGCATCCACAAGCCCATGAGTTTCATTGGCTACCTGCTCAAGGTCCACATCATCTGCCAGCTTCATGTTCTTGATATGGATTTGGAGAATTTCCAACCATCCTGTGGCATCAGGGATTCCAATATTTATCTCCCTGTCAAAGCAACCAAATCGTCGTAGGGCTGGGTCAGCACTGTTGGGTCTGTTGGTTGCAGCCATCACTACTACATGTGCTGTCTGCTTTAGGCCATCCATGTGTGTCAACAACTGACACACATATTGTGATACAATATACCACTCTACCTCTCCATGAGTTTTCTCTCTTTTGGGAGCAATGGCATCCAGCTCATCAATGAAGACGATAACAGGAACATTCTTTTCAACCTCCTCAAAGGCTTTACAAAGGTTGCTCTCGGACTCACCAGCCAAGTAGCTCATGATCTCAGGACCATTGATCAAGAAGAAGAATGCTCCAGTCTCATTTGCCACAGCTCGGGTAATCAGGGTCTTCCCTGTTCCAGGAAGCCCATAAAGCAGGATTTCTTGAGGAGGCTCAGCCAATCAGCATCTGCCTTCAAATTCTATCATTTTCAAGGCTCTTAGGCCTATTTACTTGGAAATCTTCCCAAAAGCTCAGGTGACTATAGGGTCCAGGTGTTGTTTTTCTACTCAGCTCTGCCCCTTCCTTCCAGCCCTGGGGACTAAGCAGTAAGGACCTTACCTGGACTCCTGTGTTCATTTGTGCTCAGTCACTAGGGGGCAGAAGAGAAGGGGGAAGCTGGAGGAGGCAGTCAGCTGTAGTTTCTCCTCTCTCTGGTCTGGATTTTCTGGCAAAAGCAGTATGTTCCTCTGAAACTGCAACCCCTGATGTCTGTCTCTTCCTAAGCATGTCCATCTGCTGCTGGGTTAGAAGTCACTTCCTACTGTTGCTAATCTCTCCATGCCTTACACCTGCTCATGGCCCTGCAAATGATCACTTCATTTAAGTGCCTTGAGCCACCTGAGTTGGATCCTGTTTCCTGCAGTGTTCCCTGTTAAGTCTAAGAAGAAATCCTCTACTGGTGTTAGCTTGGGGGACAGTGATGTTCTGGATTGCTAATTGTTGATACTAACTAGGTTAATGCTGGTTATTTCATTGATATGCTTAGAACATGACTAAATTTAAAAACTAATGGCTTGGAACTTTAAGTTTTATTGCCTTCTCAAAGTCGATGAGATAGTATCCTTAATGCCAACATATTAAAATATTCTGAGGCTGCCTTTGAAGATTTTCCTTAGTGCTGATAAGACATTATTTTGAATAATGCTGGAAATGGTCCTTTAATAGCAGATTGAATTCAGCTGAATAGGCAATATCACAATACATGTAAGAAAATTGGTAATAATTTCATTATGTGTGTTAGCTTTCTGTCACTTTGACAAATTATCTGAGATAGGCAATCCACAAAGAATAAAGATTTGTGTAGGCTTATAGTATCAGAGATTTCAACCAGTGGTTAGCTTGCACCTTGCTTTTTGGGCCTGTTGCAAGGCAGAGGATCATGGTGGGGAACATATGGTGAAGGAGATCTGGGAAGCAAAGAGGAGGAAAGGGCCAGGGTCCCAATACCTTTTTCTAGGGCACACCCCAGTGTTCTGTTAGGTCTCACCCCTTAAAGTGTCCACCTCCCAGTAGCAACAGAAGTTGGTTACCACGCCTATAACATGTGGCCTTTGGAAGACATTTAAGATATGAACTACAGCATTCTGTTCCTGGCCCCCAAAGGATCCTATCTATCCTAAAATGCAAAATGCATTCAGTCAATCTCTGATGGTCCCTCAAATCTTAACTGTTTCTGTATTGCTCAAAAATTCAAGTTCAAAGTCTCCTCTGAGACTTGAAACAAACTCTTAGCTGTGAGTTCCTATAAATTTTTTTTTAAAAGATACTTCCAAAATACAATGGCATAGGGTAAATATTCTCACCCCCAAAGGGAGGAAGAGGAAAATAATAAAGAAGAAGCAGACCAGCAGGAAAAAAATTAAATCCTATGCCCCCATGTCTAGCATCTAGGGAATATGATGGCTGGATGTCAGCTCCAAAAGGATTGGGCAGCCCTGCTTGTATGGCCTTGCTCACTACAGCCCAGGTAGCCTATTGCTTGAGATGGCTCTGCTTCCCGCTTGCAGCTTCCCTTGACATGTTTCATGTCCCTGGTATCTCTTACCTCCTGAGGTCTCCACTGCACTTTTGGCTTCAGTTTTTTTTTTCATTGAGTTTATTGGTACATTTTAGGTATACAGTACAGTTACATTCATCATTGGGATTTTGTGCCTTTACATGACAGGTCTTGGTTGTCCTTTTTTCCAGGCTTCAGTTTTTTTTCATTGAGTTTATTGGTACATTTTAGGTATACAGTACAGTTACATTCATCATTGGGATTTTGTGCCTTTACATGACAGGTCTTGGTTGTCCTTTTTTCCCCTTGTCCCTGCCCTCCCTTCACCCCCCCGCTTCCCTCCCCATTTGCAAACATTTTATTTCCATTTTTTTCTTTTCCCTTATTACCTTTTCCCGACACTTCCCACTTTCTCTACACCTTTAGCCCTTTTCTTCCTATTCACATATCTTGTTCTTAGGGATTGCTTGAAATTTGGAGAATTCTACAAATTGTTGGAAACACATACTGCCTAAACTCCTGGGTTTTCCTTTGACATTTTGATGGAAGCTTCTGACCTCACAAATCTTGCATTTTACATGCCTGCAAAACCAATATCATGGGTGGGCATTGTGGCACACACCAGAATCTCAGCACTCAGGGAGGCTGAGGCAGGAGAATCATAAGTTTGAGCAATTTAATGAGTTAATGAGAACTTGTCTCAAAAATAAAAAATAGAAAATCAGCTGGGGATGTAGTTTGATGTGAAAGCTACCACAGTAGTACCATGGCAGGGAATAACAGCATCATGAGGACGATGTCTACTTTGCCACTAGCTTGGGCTTGAGCTGGAGCCACCTGTACTATGGCTGCAGCACCCTCTTCACACCTGGATGACTGAACACAAGGAACCAAGTCACAGGGAAATTGTTCCCTAGACAGCCTTGTGCTGAGCTCTGGGTGACTCAGGGCTCTCAAAGCCCTTTGAGCATGAGATGGGTGGGACCTTGCTGATTCCTGAGATGCCCTCAAGGCATCTTTCCCATTCTCCCAACACAAAGTACTTGGCTTCTTTTTATTGGCAGTAATCTTTTTAGCAACTTCAACCTCCTTGATCACAACTTTTAAGCATTCTCCTTTTCTGGCCAAATTTTAAGTTTTTCAAATCTTTGTATTCTGCTTTTGCTCTTCTTACTGTATATCTGGTTGAAAGAAGTCAGTAATGCCCATCCTGCTACATGAAAGTTGTTCTGCTTTGAAATCTTCTCCACCAGACTTATTAGTCTGACACTTTTCCATTTAAGTTCTTTGCCTTTAATACCATCCCTAAGAGTCCTCATTTCTATCTGAAACCTACTCAGCACAGCCCTTAGTCTAAACTCCTATCACCATTCTAGATTTTTGAACCTTTCCCAGAATTGCCCATTCAGCTTTGTTTATAGCATTCTGGTTTTTTTTTGTTTGTTTGTTTGTTTTTTTCCTAGCCTGCTTCTCCAAACACCTCATATAAATAAGTTCCAGGGGTTCTGAACCACATTGTCAGGTATAACTCATAGCCATGAAAACAATACTAATTTGTAGTACCATTATTCTGAATTACCTTCTTGTTGATGTGATGACAATTTTGAGATAAACTTACAAAGTGCAAAAATATATTTAGGCTCGTAGTTTCAGAGGTTTCAGTCCATGGTCAATTTCCTTTTGGGCCTGTGGCAATGCAGAACATCATGGTAGGGACTGCACTGTGAAGCAGAAGTGCCCACTTCCTGGTGGCAGGAAAGCGAAGAGAAAAGGGAAGATGCTAGGGTTCCATTACCTCCTTCAAGAACACACACTCAAGACCTAACTTCCTTCTGTTGTCTCACCCCTTAAAAGTTCTACCACCTTCCAATAGTCCATAAGCTGTAATATGTGGCCTTTGGGGGATATTCAAGACCTAAACTATAGAAGTGTAAATGCAAATTTTACTAATTATCTACAAAATGTTTTTATAGCTTGTTTTCTTTTAATCAAGGGTTCAATCAAGGTTTATGAATTGCTTTTAGGCGCATCTTTAAATCTCCTTAGAGATGCAAAGATATGAATTTATATGTGTAACTCTGAAATCTAGCATGTTGTGTAACCTCATAAATATACCAAAAGAATCAAATGGAACTTTAGTGAGTGCTAGGCATGCTTTGCAAAGAACATGATTTGGGTATGGGAGATGATCTAGTCATTTGGAAGGGTTATTAAAATTGGTGCAAATAATCAGCATTTTCCTGTTTCATGTTAGGACATACAAAGAAAATAATGATCTTTCTATAGCATGATAAGGTTAAAAGAAGGGGCTCCTTGGGACTGGTCCTTTTCCAAGATCTGAGAGACCTTTATCTGTAGTATGACTGGGAAAAGTTGGGACCAATACTTATCTTAGCAGCATGGTTTCCCAGTTTGTGCCTGAGGGTATTCTTATCCCCAATACTTATCACTTTAGGTAACCTTATATATTTCTTCCCAGAAAGAACTAAGGCAAGAGCTTTGCTCTGTCACCTTCCATCAACCACAAATACCCATAACCCAGAAAAACAAAGACAAAGTGGTCTTTTTCCATGTTATTTATTCATAGTAAATTATCAGTAGCTACATAATGGGGTTAAACAAATTAACGAGTGTTTGGGAAGCCACAGGACTGTGAGAGAAATAGTGGGATTTAGACAGAGAACAATTTTACAAACTATTAACCAAAAGATTTACAAATATTCTTTAAAAAAGAAGTATCCTCTGAGGAAAACAGAGCAAGATAAAAATCATCATGAATAAATGAATTGCTTCTGATTGTCTCATTACCCAAAACCAAGGTCTGCAAAACTTTTTTGCATTTCAGACTGTCATGATTTTCAGATACTGATGTGATATAGATGTCCAGTACAGGCAAAGACTAACAGTAACAGATTAAAACAATGCAGAAGTAAAGCACATGAAGATAGCTGTCATCTGCTAGCAAAAATAGACATTAATATCAAAATTAAAGACATTCAAGTAAAATATACCAAAACACTATAGCTATTAATCCTAAAATATAAGAATAACTTCTTATTGCTCCTACTCATAACTGAAAGGTTTGAGGAGATGCTACAATAGTTGGAAGCCATAATATAATATGTAATACACATAGTAGAACTACACCATAGTGCAACAGCTGAATAAACACTTTATTGTTTTTCTGTTAGGCCTGACATCTTTAGTAGAACAAGATTACTTATTAAATCTGGACAGTACAAATGAAGGACAGTGCCCAAGTCCAAGAAATTGACTTACTGAAAATAATTAAAAGTAGGATATGAGAAAAGCAGCAGTCCAAATGAAGTAAACATCTTTAAAAAATCAGTCTGTGTATTTTTTGCCCTTGGAGAGTCTCCCATGAAGCAAATAAAGGTGTGTGTGCGTGTGTGTGGGGGTGATGGGACTTTCTGGGTACTTGGTAGATAACTGTGCTGTTGTCCTAAAGGGAGCCCCATCTGTTTAGTTAGTGCAGAACCCACCTAGCTTTCAGGAAGTGAATTGCAGGCACAAACTATACTGGAGCTTTTATTATTACCTGTGACTCAGGGAAACACCTGCCTTAGGGTGCCCTGGGGTCTGGAGAGGGACCACTTCTGCTCCCATGCTAGACTGGAGACGTGAAACATTCACTCCTGCAGTTTGGGTATTTGATAGTGGTAACAAAATATCCAATGTGCACTATGGTTTCCTGTACAAGGCCCCATTTCCAAGAACATGTGATTTACCATAAATTTAGGACAGAATAATTAGGGTTAAAATAGAGATTAAACCAAAACATGTATCTACAATGGTGTGGTGACTGTCATTATTTAATAGAGAGATTCAGAGTCCAGAAAACTAAATTCTACCTCAATTCTTCCCAAACAATGTCAAGTTTCTGTAAAAGCTCTAAACATATAAATCTGGTGGAAAGGAACTCATGAGAGAAAGGACTGAAAGAAAAAAGCATTTCCTCCTCAAGGTAGTTTTAAGATTCAAATAACAGAATGCATTAGAAAAGCCCTTCGTAAAGATGCTGGTACTGATTAATGGTTTCAAAATTTGCATATAGTTCTGTACTTAATTTTATTAATTTTCACCCTACATTCAAATTAGATAACTACTGAAGTGACATTTGGTCCAGTTGTTTTTGTGATTCCAAAAGAAATCATAAAATTAATTGAAATAACAGAATTAGAACAATTAAACAATTTATAAATACTGCATGATAAATACTTCCATTCAGTCTGTACATTTTGTTTTTGTTGTTTTTTCTTCTTTGAGTCAGCCTCTGGAGCCGGCCTATTTAACAGCCAATATTACTAAATTTCTACAATTACTCTCACACAGTGAAAACAAGATATGTTTTCTCCTGAGTATGCTTAAATTTACAGCATGTTTCTTCATGTCTGTGAGCAAAATTTGGATAAATGTTTGAAAAGAAAAGAAAGCTCACACCAAAGAATTGGATTGTGTCGTTCAAATGCTTAGGAAATGAAGTGATACCCACATCAAGTTCATTTTGGTGTCTCCATAAAATGCAATAAATGAGTCCGATATTTAATGTGTTGTTTTAAAATGTCAGTCACTTGCAGACTCTAAAAGGCTACTAACCCACTTTAAATAACTTTCCATTTAAAACATGCAGTTCTGTCCAACTGAATATTTGGTGCGACACTGAAAAATCAGGCATCGTTTTTCTGTTGTTTCACTCCTTCATAGCATTCTACATCTCTGAAATTCACATGTTTCCAGGAGAAATTTCTTTACCACATCACCACACCTGATATTTTCATGGGCTTCTGAATAGAAGGCTGCACAATTAGGCTTTGGTTTTAATGTAATCTGGGCAGAAGCTGGAACTGCTTTGAGAATACAATTCAACTACTGCACAAATTATATTACTGTAATTTGAAATAACACTTTAAAAAGTTTCCCCTTTCAGTCGTATAATCTATTAAGACTGCTGCAGAACTCAGTGGCATAAATAAGAAGAAAGTGTAGGAAAGGGGTATGACACTTAAAGCTTATCAGAAGACAATACAAAAGAAGCACATCAACTCTACATTTGTCTATAAGGCAGATGGTCATACTTTTTATACAAGGTGTAAAATACAGTGCTTATTAAGAGGTAGGAAATACCAGAACTGTATTTAAGAAAAACATGTTGAGTTATTTAAAATAATGTTATTTTTGCCAAACATTTAGAAAGTTCAACTATTGTGTGGAACACATTGTATGTTTTATAGTAACCTGGGACATTCCATATTCCACAGCGACGTGGCCAAACAGGAGAGGGTCACAAGCTAGGGGTGGGGTGGGGTGGGATGGGAAGAAGATCATTTCTTCATCTGTCAAGGATTTAGCTCTCACTAATTTCGTACCATCTCTTGGGGGTGCCATTAAGACATTAAATTAACGGGGATTTCTCTGGTTGATAATAACCAGAGGGTACAATTTTGCATATAAGGCAAAAGAACTACAGGGTGGGACAAGCGCAAATGCTTCACCTTGTAGAAGGTGCCATGTTGGTCTTACATAAAAACATAATTCCACTATCATCTGCCATCCCCTTAATCACTAAAATGCAAATGGAAATCTTCAGACTCTAGCACCAGCAGAATTGTTCTGTATGAGCGATTCAAGAGCTGTCTGAGGCAAAAAGATATCTCAGCTACCAAATTAAACTCAGTAGTTTATGTGTGCATGGGTAACTCTGGGTGTTTTTATTTCTTAATGCACCTGGGAGAGGTTGATTTTTTTCCTCCAACATAATTTTATAAGGCATAAATTTAATTTGAATTTTCCCTAACCTTTGGGAAATTAGTGTTAAAGCTTCTTTTTTAATCCACACATTAACATTCAATCTTTCATTTTTATTAAAGTTTATATATAAAAAGAAATATCTAGGTGTTCCACATTCATATAAATAATCATGATAACATTTGAAATTGTAAAGAAACCCACTGAAGAAAATATATACTTCAATACTTACAATGCTATGCTAAGCACAAGTGATTATTCTGGATAACATCTTTTACGTATACAGACACAGGTTGTACTGCTTCCAGAAGCAAACACAGGAGAAGTACATAAATATATTTTTCTTCTTTCGTCTTCTTTGCTTTTCACCACAAGACAGGATGATCCAATTTGGAAAAACCAAAATCTTTTCTAAGTTCCAAATAGGTGCCATTGCTCACCCA